CTTTAAAAATAAATAAATAAAATTGGCAAGATGGTGGAAGAACTGGGAAATCAAATTTCACCCACAGAGTGAAGAGTCTCTGCTGCCATTGCTTAAGATGGGAGATCATGTCCTCCTGTGTGTCTGGAAGATCTCATGTGGTAGGAACAAAATTCATCTATACTTAATAAGCCCTCAATGCAAATAGGGATTTGGAGGACCTTAGGATGGAGGAAGCATCCGAATGAGGAACATCCAGAGGACTCAGCAGATTTTATTCCAACCGAAGTAAGGTTTATGCAGGCATCGGCTGTCCTCCGGGGCCACCCACACACACCGGAAGATTTCGAGCTTGGAGGTGGAAGGGGAAAATGAATCATTTGCACTTGTCTTTTTTTTTTTTTTCCTGGCTAGCGTCAACCTTTCCATCCACACACTCCACTGAGCTGACTTAGTTCCCTTGTTTTCCCCCAGTGCCATTTGCATACATTCTGTATCTGACTATCAAGTCTGCGTGTGTGTGCAAATCAAACTACGGGAGCTCTCACCTCACACCTGTCAGAAGGGCTGGGGAGGATGGAGAAGAGGCGCTCTGGGCACGGCGGGGAGTGGGAACAGTGTAGTCACGTTTGGAAGGGGCTGGAGGCTTCTCATTCCCACAGGCCACTTCTCCGCACCCGTTGAGGCATGCAAAACCATCGCCCTGAGTGGGGCCTCCCCAGTGGCGCAGCGGTTGAACGCTGGGTTGTGAAGCTGCCCGCAGCCTCTGCAGGGCAGGTTCGATCCCCGGAGGAGGTTCCCGCATGGCGTGCAGACCTCTCCTGCCGCCCGCTGCTCCCCTCAGCAGTGTACCTCGGCCCTTCTGCCTGCTTTGCTCCCCGCTCTGGCTCTGGTGATTCTGACTATACCCAGTGCTTGTATAAATAAATAAACAAACAAATAAATAAATAAATCTTAAAAACCACAAAAACCATCGCCTTCAAGAATCATCCTCTCCACAGGGTTTCTTGTGACATTATTTACAATTCCTAAGACATGGAAGCAGCCTAAGTGCTGACTGGTGGAGGACTGGATGGAAAAGATGAGGGCCAGACACAGAAGACGCAGGTACCCCCTAGTTACAAGGCAAGATGACATTTCGCCATGTGCAGCTGAGTGGGAGGAATTTGAGAGGATTTGGTGGATGGAGTCAGCTAGAAAAGTGAAGACAGATAATGGATAATGGATGACTCCACACACAGGAGTGAGATCAGGAAATCAAAGCTGATGAAATGACAAAATAGTAGACATGATGATCAAACTGCAGGTATCAACAGTGAAGAGGGTGGGGATGGGAGGCAGGATGAGAAGGGATGATGGGGTATTTTGCTTTTGGTTTTGTTTTGTCTTTTTCTCCAAATTAAAAAAAAAAAATTAATGTATGTATGGTGACCATAGAAAAATCCAGGCAAATCTAGAAAAGTCCCTCAGCACAGACTCAACTAACATTTTCCTGAAGAACATTTGCATCTTCGAGGTAGAATATTGCCTTTGATTCAAAGAACTGGGAAACCTCTAAAGTAACCGCAACTATATAGTAATTATAACATGACAACCAAAACAACAGCCCCAGGCTGTTAGCCTACCTCTCAGGTAACAGCTCCCCTGACAGTTTCCAGAAGTCAAATGTGTGTGCCGAAAAAGGCAAAAGGGACAGAGCAGGAGCCCAATATGGTGAAGAGAAAGTCTGAGGAAGAGCAAAGTCTCCTGGATTTTGCTCAACTTGCCCTGTGACCTTAGCAAGTGCCTCCCCATCTGGCCTCAGCTTCTTGCCTATGACACAGGAAGATTGGAGCAGAAATGGCTGTCAATCCTGCCCACTCACTAGCGCCCGTGGAGAGCCGGTAAAATGACTGATGCCTGTGCCCCACCCTACCCTGACAGCTTTTAGACTCTCTGGGGATGTGGCCAGGGCATCCCGATTTTTTAAAAGTTCCCCAGGGCATTCCAATGAGTAACAAAGGTTGAGAACCACTGTCTTGGCCTTGGGCTCTGCTCCCTCTTTCAGGTGGTCCCCTCCTTCCCCAGCAGTGTAGGGGTCCCATCCCTGAATGTAGCCCCTGGGGTTGTGGTTTCAGGCACAACAGGCTTTTCAGGGAGGAAGCCCCAGAACGAGTTTTGACTCCAAACAGCCTTCATCTGGACTGGCCCAGCAGTCTCTCACCATCACCGACTTAGAAAACAGCAAAACACAAGGAGGGGAGAGACAGCACTCCACCATAGAGGGGACTTCCTGGGCCCCCACCCCAAGCCCCAGGTGGTGTTTCAGGAACAGAGGAAACTTGGGGGCACAGTGTGAGCAGGGACAGGAATGGGCGGCCCGGCTCACCCCTGCACTGACACTGACACTGTGTGACCTTGGGCTGCTTGCTTCACCTCTCTGGGCCTCCACTTACTCACGCGTGCTGGGTCCTAACAGAACTTTCCTCCCAGGATGGCTGAGAGGATTGAAGGCCATTTGTGCTCAAACCAGCCCCAGGAGACGGCTTCTCCTCTCCTTCCTGGCCCATGTCAGCGGTGGCCAAGACTTTAGAGACATCTCAGCCCTGTCTGGGCCCCCAGATGCCCTGGAAGCTTTGAAGCACTCCCTGGCCAGCCCGTGCTCTGGGGAGTGTCAGTGACAGGTCTGCCCAGGGCACCCCTATTCCTACAGCTTCCCAGATGAATTCAGTGTGTCCCCCTCCCTCCCGGGCAGTGAGAGCTGCTACCAGAGCTCGTGGAGGAAAAGAGACCCCACAGGGCCTCCCTGGTGGCGCAGGCGGTTGAGCACCACACTGTGAAGCTGTCCGCAGCCTCTGTAGCGCAGGTTCCATCCTGGCCAGCAGGCGAGAATCCCACAAGGCAAATCAGACCTCTCTTGTCTCGCCTGCTGCTCCCCTCAGCAGTGCATTTCGTCAGTGCCTGTTCTGTTCCCCGCTCTGTCTCTGGTGAATCCTCTCACCCTCCCGCGCATCTGACCGGTACCCCAGTTCTTGTATAAATAAATAAATCTTAAAAAAAAAAAAGAGAGACCCCATAGCAGGGCTTCTCAAACTGGTTGTGCATTACAATCACCTGGAAGGCCCTTTAAACCACAGATTGCTGGGCCGTGTCCCCAGAATTGCTGATTCTGTAGGTCTGGGGTGAGCCTGAGGCCGCTGACCTACAGGAAGGTCCACAGCCGGAGGGTCAGCGGCGGGGAGGTCTGTGCCAGGGCCGGGAGGGTGCACCAGCGGCCCCAGAGCGCCCCCTGGTGGAAGTGCGGGCGCACCACAGCGCAATTCCTTAGGCCGATTTTAACCAGGGGTCTTGGAGCGCCACCTAGTGGGTGAATGGACGTGGCCGTTTGCGAGAATTGACGCCTCGGTTACCTCGATGTGCTGGGGTCGGAGACTTGTGGGCAGCATTTAAGGAATCCAGTGGAGAGGAAGGAGTGTCCTATTCTGCTCCCGGAACCCCGATTTCTAGAGCCGGGAGGTTCCAGGATCTTGTCTTCTCGCCGGGAATCTCGGCGGCGCCCTGATCTCTAAGCCCAAGGGCTGGGACAGCCCAGGCTCGGCTGCAGCTTGGGGGCACGCTCGCTGCCAGCCCGCCCGCCGGAACCCCCACCCCAACCCCAGCGACCTCTGCACGACCGTTTCACATCCGACATTCTAAACTCCAGTTACTTGCAAATCCAAATAACAGCGAACGCCCCGAAAGCCGGGGGCTTGTTCCGGTGACAGGCACCGAGCGGGCAGGGGGGGCCCGTAGTTCCTCGGGAATAAGCCTCCATCAGCACGGCCCTGGCGCGGGCGTTTGCAGGGGCCGGTCCCTCCCCCCGAAGAGCGCGTCCCCAGGGGTCCAGCCGCTTCGCCCGCGGTCCCGCCTCCCGCTCTCCCCAGTTCCCGCCCGCGCGCTAACCTGGTGCTGAGAGGACCCGCGGGTCCTCTTTATGGGCGCTCGGCGGGGTCTTGGGACCTCTGCTCCCGCGGCTCCCACGGCTCACTCGCGCCAGGGGGTTAGACTCCCGGCCCCTTCCTCACCGGGCGCAGCAGGAGGAACCCTCGCTCTTCCCCGAATCCACGACCCGACGTCGGCTGTGCGCCCTGAGGCCCCGCAGGCAGCCCGGTAGCCGCCTCTGGGGGTGGGGCCAGGAGCCCGCAAGCGAGGTGGGAGTGGGGACCCTTGCGTTTGGGTGCGGGGCCGCGCCTCGTGGCAAAGGCTGGGGAAGGCAGGCACAGCGCAGGTCTCCTTGGGAGCGGGGGTTGGGCACGAGCGCGGTGCCGGGGGGAGGTGGGTGCCGGGGAGGTGGGTGCTGGGTGCCGGTGGGCGCTAGGGCGGATTTGAATGGGGCAGTTGGCTGAAAGTCAGAGCAGGGTCGGGCGTATCTCGGGAGCTGGAAGGGGATAGGGGGGCAGGCTGGGCCGGGGGAGGTCGAGTTGGATGGGCACTAGTAGAAGGGCTGAGGAATGGGGCAGACAGTGCCCAGGAGGTGGGTTCCGGGCACCGATTAGAGGAGAGAGCTGGGAACCCAGAAATGACAGCTAATTGGACCAGGAAAGTGGGTCTGATGGCAGCGACCTGGGATGATGTGCGATTGAGCCTGTCAAGATGTGATGGGGGGTCCAGCAGAGGTTTTAGCTGGGGGAGGCTGCGGCGCAGGGGGGCCAGCCGAAGCTAAGGCCTGGCGGAGAAAAGGCAGGAGGCTGAGTGGGGTTAGGGCCGCAGGGACCCCGGGAGGGACTCCGGTTGTTCACGTTGCTGCAGTGACACTGAGGCCTGGGGACTGGGAGGCTAGGAGCAGCGGGGCCCACCTGCGCCGGGGGAGGGGCCAGCTACGGTGGAGGTGAGAAGCGGGTGCGCGCACCCTGAAGCAATAAAGGACGCTGGGTATGCAGCAGTGACCGGGCAGTTCCATAGTGCTCGGGCACCGCCAGGCATCATGGGTGAGGCAGCTAGTGACCAAGCTCGGCCACTCCCCTCCCCCACTGCCCAGACCACAGACACCAGAGATTCTTAGTTCACTTTACTGAAGGATCCAGGTGACATGGGGAAAGGGGTATCTACACCTCCTAGTGGGGGGGGGAGGGGGAGGGCTTGTACCACACCCCCATGGCAGCTGCCCAGGACCAGACCCCCAAGGCTAGCAGTGCTAGCAAGGAGGGGGCTGCGTCCCAGCCCGCCGACCTGTTCTCGGGTGAGGTCGTCCTGTCCAGGGTGGTGCTGCGGCCTGGAGGGGCCACCTCTGAGCCACCAGCAGCAGAACCCGCATCTGCTTCTACACCTAGTGACCAGAGGTGGGTTAGGACAGCCCAAGGGGGCTGTGAGGGGTCCCCAAGGGCTGGCCACCTCCTGGGGACAGGAATGCAGAGACAGGTACACATAGGACAAGAGGACTTGGGGGGTGTCCAGTGGGGCTGCCGGGACTTGCCCCACTCCCCTTCACCCTGTGGTGGTGGCCACTGCTCCCCTCCTTCCCCAGAAGCGCCCCGCCCCCTGGGGTTTCCCTTTCTGGCATCATACCTTAGGGAGGCCGGTTGAGCCTCCAGTCAGCTGCGCACGGACGCCCCAGCGCCGCCATCGCGTCCAGGCGATCACCCGCGGAAGGGCTGGGGAAGGCGGTCCTGGCCAGAAGCGAGGGCCTGACACCTTCAGAGCCAGAATACCCCACTGGTTCTGCCCTGCCCCGGGCCGTTCACCCGAGTGCTAAGGAGGGATGGGGGCACCCTGCGCCAAGCCGCCCGCTATGACCCCCGACACCAACACTGCGCCCCCCCGGGGTCGCTTTTGTGTTTCCCTCCATTTCGGTCGCGACCCCGTCCGGGCGCAGCGGGGAATCGCCTCTGCAACAGGAGCGAGTAGCGGGCGGGAGGTTGGGGCAGCGCTCTGCGCCTCGCGGGCTCTGGGCTCCCCTAGCGACACTTGGGGGGCAGCCTCCGGCCCCGCCGAGGCTTCTTCCCACGCGCCGATCTGGAGCCGGCGGGCGGCTGCGCCCTGGTCTCGCCGACCTCGGCGTGGGCACCAGCGGCCGCCCAGGTCCTCTTTTTCTTGCCTCGCGCTCGGGCTGTTCGAGCCCCTGAGGGCGCGGGGCCCCGAGCGCCGCCGGCCGGACCCTGTGCGCGCCCGCTTGGCCCGCGGCCTCCTGCACGCCGGGTCCTGGGACGCCGACTCCTCGCTCTCCGCGGCCTCAGACGCCTCTTGGGATTCTCCTTCCTACGCCCCCTCCTCCGACTCCTCCGACTCCAAGTTCTCCCGCGCAGCGGGCAGCGCCATCACCCCCCCAGGTGCCCCCGGCGTATTTGCACTTCCCGCCCCCCCCCCGGGCGTTTCCCTTCTCCTCCGCCACCACGCCTGCCACGGCCGGGCGGCCAGGCGCGCCACTAGCCCCAGCAGCCCCTCCAGGTTCCCCCAGAGGCCCCCTCCGCGTCCTCGTCCTCCACCCGGCCTCGGAGGAGGCCACGCTGCGCCCTCCTCCCTTGGGGACGGCCTCCGGCTCAGCCAAGGTGGAAAAGCATTCCAGAAGGTTCCCGCGTCCTTGGCCTTCCTCAGGACCATGGCGCCCACCTCCCCACCTGCCGCCTCCACCTTCGCGCGTGCCCGAGGCGCCCTCGGCCATGACGGACGCGAGCTGGGGGCGGTCGTCCCGCCTGTCGTTCCTGTGCTCCAGCCCAGCGCCTGGATCACAGAAGCCATTTTCAACGTCTCCTCCGGGCGGCGGGGTCGGGGGGCTCCGTATAAGCCACGATGGCCCCAGACTCGGGGTTGTCCATCTCTTTCCCAGGTCCCGCTCTCCTGCGACTCGCTCTCGGGAGCGCCGCGGTCCTGGGCTGCTCGCCCCGGCCTCCCTCGCCGCCAGCAGGGCCGCTGATTCGGGGAGGCCGCTCCGCGCGTCTTCGAGGTTCAGGCCGACGGACTCCGCCCCGGGCGGCTCTTTCTCCAGCTCCTCTTTCTTGGCTTTGTCCGTCCCCGTCACCAGGGCCAAGAACTCGCGGGGCCCGTCGCGGGCCCCCACTTCGCTCTGGAGGCCCCACTTCTTCACGAGCTCCCCGGCCGCGGCCCGCAGCGTGGCGGGCAGCGCGCTCTGCTCGGCGTCCCCGCCCCGGCCTCACGGGCCACGGCCCGGATCACGACGCCCAGGCTCCCGTCGGAAGAGCCCCCGGCCTCCTGCCGCGCCGCGGCCGCCCCTCCTCGGCCCCGTTTCTTACCCTCCAGGGCCAGCAGGTTGCCTCTGGCCCTGTTGCTGCCACCCCGGCGGCCCCTCCTGGCCACCTGCCCCTGGGCCTGGGCCTCCCAAGGGGGGGGGGGCGTGTCCCCAGGGGTCCCGGCCTCAGCGCCTGCCGGGCCGGGGCCGTCCGTCCAGCAGCAAGCGCCCCATCCGCCGCAGCACTTTCCAGTCCTCGCGCGCTCCCGGCACAGGACCCTCCGGACGCCGTCCTCCGCCGGATCTCCCTGGGGTGGCGGCGTGTCGATGTCTCCACAAACTCCACCAGGGCGGCCGGGCCGCGCCCTGGCTCCCAGCGCTGGTGTTCCGGAGCCTGCACGTGCCGAGGGGCCGCAAGGCCGGCCGCAGGACGGCTTCCATGGCCGCAGGCTCCTGACCCTCGGGGAGGCCAGTGACCAGCAGGGCCCCGTGCGCGTCCACCTCCAGCCCCCTGCACCCGTCCCGCAGAAGGCTCCCGGTCGTGGCCCGCCGCCGGAGCCCCTGGCCAATCGCTGGGCACGGGGAACCCCGAGACGGGCGTGGGTTGTCGGGCCCGGTGCCAAAGCCAGCCAGGGACGGCGGCGCGGGGCTCAGAGTTCAGGTTCAGGTGAATGGGGCCCGGCTGGCATCGCGGGGCTCCTGCTGCCGCGGGCCGGCTGACGCAGCGGCCTCTGGCGGGGCCTCCCCCGGCCGGCCTGCAATCCGCAGCAGGGTACGTGTCCGCTCGCGGGGCAGGCCAGGGATGCCGCCCGCCCGGCCGCTCTGGTCTCGGTCCCGCACAGAGGTCTGAGGGACGCGGCCCCCGAGCCAGGTGCAGGGAGGGCGGCGCGGCGCGCACCTGGAGCGGCCCGGGTCCGGACGTGGGGGCCGCGGCTGGCGGGGCTCGGGCGCCCAGAGCAGGCGCGCGCGCGGCGCTCGAACCCCAGCGGTTCCGCTGCGACGCCGAGGCCCCTCCCGGCGCCTGCGCACGCGCGCTGGTCCCGCCTCCCAGCCGGGCCCGGTATCCATGGCAACCGCGGCGGCCGCGGCAGCGCTGGTAGGGGGGTCTGGGGCTCCCGGAATCCGCTCTTAAAGGACCCCCATGCAGGGATGAGCGCAAAAAAGGCGAAAATCACAGGGGCCGTGACACCAGGGAGACCCGCCCTCATTCGCCCGGGGCCGTGGAAGAGAACCTGCCTGCCCCAGAGCTGGGCTGGGGAATGATCCTCCGAGATCATACCATGACTTATAAGAATGTTACATAAGCAAATGACTCTCCACCCCAGACAATTAACCGACATTTATGGACTGTCTTTTTTTTTTTTAATGACAAGTGACTTATTTTATTTTTTTAAAGATTTATTTATTTAGGGGCCTCCCTGGTGGCGCAGCGGTTGAGCGCTGGGTTGCGAAGCTGCCCACGGCCTCTGCGGCGCCGGTTCGATCCCCGGCTGCTCCCCGGCCACCGGAGGAGGATCCCACATGGTGCGCAGACCTCTCCTGCCGCCCACTGCTCCCCTCAGCAGTGTACTTCGGTCCTTCTGCCTGCTCTGCTCCCCACTCTGGCTCTGGTGAATTCTCTCACCCTCCAGCACTTCTGACTGTACCCAGTGCATGTATAAACAAACAAAAAAAAATAAATAAAAATAATAAAACATGCCTCTATTAAAAAAAAAAAAGAATTAAAAAAGATTTATTTATTTATACAAGCACTGGGTATAGTCAGAAGCGTGGGAGGGTGAGAGAATTCACCAGGGCCAGAACAGGGAGCAGAACAGAGTGACGAAGTACACTGCTGAGGGGAGCAGCGGGCGGCAGGAGAGGTCTGCGCGCCATGTGGGACCCTCCTCCGGTGGCCGGGGAGCAGCCGGGGATCGAACCAGCGCTGCAGAGACTGCCGGCAGCTTCGCAACCCAGCGCTCAACCGCTGCACCACCGGGGAGGGAGGCCCTATGGACTGTCTTTTACTGGCTAAAACTCTGTGCCTAATTCTTTCCTACTTAGATTCGAAGATGGCCCGTTGGATGATTTGATTAATCAATGTGCGTCCCTCACCCGTTCCTCTGTAAGCTAAACGAGGGCAGGGACGACGTCAGCCTGGTGTACTGGTGAGGGACAGCAGGCAGTGCATTAAGCACATAGTTAGCACTCAAAACGTTGAATGAATGTTGGGGGTACAGAGGAAAAGGCAGATGTAGGGTGATTCAAGAAGATAATTTCATACTCTTCAACCTATTCGGGTCCTGGAAGCCTGAAGAGTGCCACGAAAGAAAGATAAACAAGAGCTAAAAGACTTCATGCTTCTCTTGCTCTCTTCCTAATGGAGGAAGAGTTCATTGCGTGGTTCCCATGGCAACTGGACCTGCCACCAAACCAAATGCTTACTCACCCCCCACCCCCACTCCAGCTCTTCTTTTTTTTTTAAGATTTATTTTTCATTTATGCAGTAGCTGGGGTACAGGCCAGAGGCATAGGAGGGTGAGAGGATTCACCAGAGACAGAGCAGGGAACATAACAGGCAGATTGACTGAAATACACTGCTGAGGGGCACAGCAGGCATGACAGGAGAGGTCTGCCACTCCATGTGGGAATCTCCCCTGCTAGCCGGGAATTGAACCCGAGCTGCAGAGGCTGCAAACAGCTTCACAGCGCTGCACTCAACCCGCTGTGCCACTGAGAAGCCCTCCAGCTGTTCTTTCATGGCTTTTCTCTTTTCCTTTCCAGATCTCCAACTAGATCTCTCTAGATCTTCTAGAAGTCCTTCTTCTCTCCAGAACAGCTTTATCCAACAGACACAAAGCGGACCCCAAACCGGGGCCACATGGATGAGGTGAAATTGCTTGTGGTAAAATGGGTTCTTAGATGGCATGTATTCCAGAATGTGCAAGGTGCCATCATCTTCACACGGCACCAATATGATCTGGTTATTAATGGGATGTGGTATGTTCTCTTTTTCATGAGTCCCTTAGGAGCTGACCCATTTCAAGGCCTTAGTGACCACAGAATGGACACTGGGAATGTGTTCCGAGGAACTCACTAGGGGGGTGTGTGTCCAGACATGCCAGCACAAGTGTAGTCATCCCCATGTTAGTTACAACCCTGGAAGACTGGAAATAGCCCCAAAATCCAAACATCAAAAAAGAAATGGAAAACTGAATTTTTTTTTTTTTTTGGTATGGAAGACAACAGGTAAGGCGCTGGTGAAAAAGAAGATTCATATACAGCAGGTCCTCAACACCCATGCTTTCCTTAACATGGTTTCCTCAAATGTAGGTGAGAAAAAAAAAAAAAAAGGCCATGCCTTGGCCATCCATGAGGTGAAGGACTGGTTTTGTTACAGGTTACTTTACTAGCCATCGAAGTTCCTGGAACCTACCCGGTGAGGATTCGGGAGGTGGTGTGTGTGTGAGTTGGGAAGGATGCCAAGTCCTAGGGTTACAGGGATAAGATTTAATTCCCATGGGCCAGTGGTACAGGACAGGTGATACACAG